GGGGCAAACCTTGACAGTTGCCTCGCAGGACTGGAAGAGTCGTTTTGGCTATTCAGCAGTTCATGTCGACCTACCGACACCATCAACACAAAGCGAAACCGATCCAGGAAAGCATACATCCCGCCGGTCGAGAATGACATGGTGATTACAATCTTGAAAGAAGCAGGAATTTTTGACCTACTCATGCAGAAGAAGATCACCAGAATGCCGGTGCTCCCAGAAGCCAACTACGATGACCACCCTGAAATGATTGAGGTCTCATCAAGCGATGAAGAGGTGGATGAAGTTGATGAACCTGATGAGGAGACCACGACGCCTACGGCGCGGGGCCCTCGAGCTGAACAAACTTCAGGAGAAACCGATGCCGGAGCTGGTGACATCGAGATTGAGGAGGAGGAAGATGGCATGGGGGGACAACCTTCAGAAGCGAAGAAGCGCCGAACCGAGGTGCGTGACATCCGTGATCGTTTTGAGAAGCTGATTTCAGATGCATTGGATGTTCAATATTGTTTCATTTGTGGTGGAAGGCATGGCATTGACGAATGTACTACACCAGATGATGAGAACATGAAGGACACCATATGGCGCATGAGGTTGATCATGGATCAGAAGTCCAAATCCCCATCATCATCCGAAAGATCCAAAGCTGCAACCAGAGGCAGAAAAGACAAGCTCCCAAAGAACGTCATGCCACGAGGAAAGCGTTGGGGAAGAACCAGATTCACTGAGAAAGAGGAAGTGACCAAGTGCTTCTACAGTCAGTCAGCCTTTATGTACGACATTGGTGATCGTGAAGAAGGAGGACAATACTTAGTGAATGGTGTCGAAGTCAACCCAATTAGCCGAGGTGTGAAGAATCGTCATGAGCTTGACTTGCTGATTGAGCGTGCGGCTGAGGAATCCCCGCCTGTTTTGCCGACCATTGAAGAGCTGAACGCTTGGAACCCCCTTGATCATGATGCTTATGTAAAATGGCTTATTGAAGAAAGAAAACAACGTGGAGACAACTGGAACTTCAAGTACATCCAACCATTTACACATGGCCACAACATTGGTACACTTCAACTTGCTCGCATTAATGGAGAAGAATATCTTGGAATGGGCTGGTGTAAAGTGCATCGATATGGCGAGAATGAGTGGATGGGCAACAAGTGGGAAAATCCGCCATGGATGGTCGAATTGTCAAAAAGATTCAATGCAGCGCTACGCCACTCCGTGGGTTGCGTCAGAGACAGTCGAAATCACCGTGGACTACCATGCGACGAGGCAGGTTGGGTCAATGTTGAGTCGATCTTGAAGTACGATGCCATTTGGAAAGACCAACATACTTTGGCTGGAACGACCTACGTCAACTACCCGATACTTGTTGAGAGGTGGAACAACTTCCAGAGAGTGATCTTCACTGAGTACAAGCAAACGAAGAGAATCCGAGCACAAGTGCTAGGACTCAAGGTCACGAAAGGTGAGTTGGAACACATCATGAACAACTTCAATGATGGATTGACCTCTAGACTTGATCGACAAACACTGAGGTCGGAGATCGGCACAGCAGATCGAGAGATTTGGCTTTGGCCGGTGGCAATCCGTGCCCCTATGGCGCATTCAAGAGTTCAAGGCGGTGTGCACATTGAAGACAAGAAGACTTCATATCAGATGAACCCTGGAGTAGGATACACTCTTGGAGGAGGATTTCATTGCACCACATTTGACAACATCGCTCAAATCTTCAGAGAAGGACTACGTCCAGGAGGAGGAGGCGACCGCATCAATACGTTCTTCGTGCCATTCGCGCCGTGGGATGTGAGAAGTCAAATGGTGCTGAGATTCAGGAAGATTGATCAAACTGATCTTGTCTACATCTACATCACGTACGATTCCATCGCCAAGTTCTCCCCTCGATTATCAGCAGACGGACACATTTTGGTCCAAGAAACAATTCCATTCGAATCATTCGATGCAGTTTGGTATTACGACTGGAGAGAAAAGGACTACTACCGTCTCATGATCACGAAGGGAAGAGATCAACTTGTTCTTTCTGTGCAAGGTGCAAAGAGGGTGGCCACCATTGAACGATTTGACAAGCTCATTGGAAACATTGTGCCTGAAGAATCATCACCCGATCTAGACGAACTTCGAAAACTTGTCGATATCAGGACCGGTCACTTCAGTCATACTCACAGATTGTTCCCTGGACATCCGGATTGGAATGATGCAATTTCATTATTGGCAGTCACTCATCACCCTAGCAAAGAGGACCATCGACTATGCCCCGCATGTCTGATGGAGACCCCTGCGCCGTTATCGATTTGTGTGATGTGCAAAGGATTTTTGGTGAGTCATGGATGGAGGAAACGAATCAAGACCACCGTGGCTACAGTACCAAGTGCCGAATCGCATCATCGAGAAGAAGATCTCAAAGACCATGTCAAGAAAGCATGGGAGGAGGTGAAGATCGATTTGACAGGTGATGATGATGACGACGAGGTGATGCCAGATGATGATGATGTCACCATGAAGAGTCCAGAACAAGAAACTCAACCAGAAGAAGGAGATGATGATCAAGCCTCGAAGAAGGGCGACATCAATGATGAGAAAAGAGACTTCAGAGAACAAGATGAGGTCGACAAATTTCTCAATCAAGAAGGAAAACCGACCGATGAGAACGATGATGAAGAGATAGCGGTCGATGAAATCAACATTGAAGAGTACGAGGCTGGAGAAGCTCGTGATGCAGTGATTGAGTACCCCAAGTGGATGCAGCGGATTGAGTTTGGATCAAAGGTCCTGCCGATCGAACCTTGCACAATTGGAGATGCTCAGCCAGAATTCATCAAGATCCTCCTGTTGCAGATTGGATTACATATCGTCAGGATCTACAGACTATTCCAACGGAACTTCTGTGGAGACATCGAGACGGCATGGAAACATTTTCAACAGAACCAGAAATTCAGGATGGACCTGGACTCAAGGACACCTTACCTGGGCGAGGATGAAAATGGTGAACTCATTGAGCCAACTGCACAACAGATGAAAGAGCTCTACAAAGAGATCGGCCGACCAAATCAAAAGGACGACATCGGAGAAGAGGGATTCGTCAATGCATACTATGGGGCAGTGGTACTCAAAAGACTTCTCATATATACCCTTGAATGTGGCTACACGTATGATGACTTGCAAAACATATTCTTTGATGAGGAGATGGAGAAGCTGTCGAAACGTGACACCACAATGGATGAGATGAGAAAGACCACAGCGGCCCGCGACGCCCTTGACCGACAAGACGTCATGGTCAGAAGAATCATTGCAGGTGCATATAGGGTAAATGCTGTTTATTTCTTCAGGAACGTTGACTTTCAAGACACAATCACACTGAATCCAGTTGACATTGTGTGTGCTCTTCGTCCACCACTTCGAAGAATATCACTTTTACACCTGATCCTTCAGAATGGCCGACAATTACCGCGACCTCTACTCCAAAAGCTATATGATGCGATCGATGACTACAATCACATCAAGCAACGGGAAGATCAACGACCAAGGTGGGGCATCCACTTGTCTGAAGCTCACATACTTGCGATTGCTGATACCCCGACTCCTGCTGATCGTGAACGTGCCAATCCAGCCGCTGGCAAATCGAAAGCAGCCCCGAAAGCTGCACCAGCACTGGGAAGAGTGTCGAAAGCGAAAGCATCATCGTCAGCGACATGGAGAACAGTTGAAACCGCTCCTCCGCCAAAACAAGCTCCAGTGACCCCGCCAAAGAAGGGTGGAAAAGACCAAGGAAAAGGTGGAAAATCTTATTCACACCGTGGCGGAGACTGGAACCAACAGGGATACTATGGATGGGGATATAGATGATTAAGCGATCTGACCTCTGCATAGGTCCTGATTGAACCTGGCGATGCGAGGATGCAATCATTGCTCGAGATTTACCTCTACTTCATTTTGAATGATTTCTGAGAGGACTCTGAGCCGGCTAATTTAGAACCACACATTTTTTTTGAACATCATTGCATGAAACGCTGAGTTTCTACAGCGGTCTACGTCTCAACCGACGAAGGGACGGGAAGGTAAACTTCTAGTTCCATAGTCAACTTTGTGTTTTGATTTCTTTAATTCACATGCTTGAGTGAGATTCCATGCTGGCTACGCCACATCGGATGAACCTCAATGCTAGACACCGACTACGTCGTGTCTACATGCACGTGAACAGAACCCTAATCTTTTGGTAGAGATAGTAGCAAGCCGCCATGTAGATATGAAGTTCTGAAACGGACTTTAGCTCTCCATAATTCAACAAATGAATAGCTGCAAATATAGTGGATCAATTCGAGGGACACTCCTTTGCGCGTAGCCAACAAAGTTGGCTATGCGTGGGGGGTGCGAATAGAGTGTAAGCTACGGACCAAAGTAAAATATCACATAATTCATCACTCTAAGACCCACAGCCAAAGGGTATGACAATCGCCCTTTTGGCTCAAGACCCACTGCAGCAACAGGGAAAAAGAACGCCATGCGGAAGCTGTCGTCTTTGTGAAGTCATTACTGGAACAACAAACATCAACATCAATTACTGGAATATAATCGGGCAGACAATCCCCGATTCGCAATATATATCACCAATCATTGAGATGGTGATAGCATCTGCATACTCCAACTAAAAAATCAATCTGCACCAAGCAAAATGTAGTATTTCACCCACTAAATTGATGGCTATGAGTGATATGACCCTCAAAAACATGAATGGTGTACTGTTGCAAAAATTGAAGTAACTCTTTGGTTATTGTAGATGTTCGGGGACAGGGACCTGACCCGAAACTCGAGCCTCATTGTGACTGCATGTGTAGAGAAAGCCGCACATGGCCTACAGTGTCAATTGATTCAATTTGCGATCATGAAAAACACATAGCAAGAAGTGCTCTGAATGTGATGTTTTTTTTGGTTGACACTTGGTTTCCACAAAGACACACGGAGTACAACTGGGTCACCACCGTCGTGAGGGAAAGAACTTCTGAAGAAAGAGAAGGAGGAGTTACTTGGACCTTCCGGGGGATACGATGAACTCCTATGGTGATCCCCTACAAACCACCATGTCATAATCCTCAATATCAAAATGTTAAGAGGTGAAATGTGTTTTTTCTTGTTGTGACTCTCTGATGGTTGGTATTATCCATTAGATATTCATTTTTCATACCTAATTAGATATTAAATTATATAAAATTACTTAAAATATCATTATATCTATTATCATTTAGATATCGGTGTATACCAACCATTTCATTATCTGATAATTTAATATCTAATAGAAATCGATGTCCATTTGTCCATGGCACTGCCATTATGGCTGGCCATGGAGGTTTCCCTACTATGCGTTATTACAATCCCCAATAAATTAGGTCGTACGGGGGTTTCCTAAAATAGGGGTACCCCCAAATCATCCACTGACTATTTTCGTAGTTTCGATTATAAACCATCCAGCTATTGGGGTACCGGGGGTACCCCCATGACCATGGAAATCCTCTGTAAGTTCTATATTTCTATGAAGTTCCTTGATTAACCAAGACATTTTAGATATCCATTCGATATTCATTTTCATAGTTATCTATAGAATTCATTAGATATCGAATATCTCATAGATTTTTTTTCTGTCCATTTATCCATCCATTGATCCATCGTCCACCGCCATGGCGCTGTGCAAACTCCGAAGGTTTCAGCGTTTGTCCTCCGAGATGTTGAAACGTCAGAAGGCCCGCGAGCGTCCGGCGCCCGAGACGGGGACGGCTAAGGCGGCACGGCGCCCGGCGCGGCAAGGTGAAAAACCATGAAAAGTGGCCAGAAAAGGTAGGGAAAACCAGGGAAAACTTGAGGAAAAGCCATGAAAAGTGGCCAGAGATATTGGAAAAGTACAGCAACCCACGAAAAGATGCTGAGTTTAGTGCCACCAGAATGTTAATTAAAGATGTTGTTTACTTTGTATTTCCAAATTTACATCAGCATTTGTTTGGGGGTTACTGCGAAGTCACAAGATGGATCAAGTCATCACATGATCCTGAAATCAAATGCTACACGAAGAATCCATAACTCGTCTATATGGTAAATTCAATTAGCACATTTTACCCTATGGTAAATAAACATAGACCCTGAGTCCATGACTCAAATGTCCAATTTTTAGTGAAAACTAATCTTCCAACCCCATCAACCCCCATGACTGCCAGGGTCCATGTTAATTTACTGGAGGGTAGCAAATTAAGTTGAGTTTAATGGGGATTTACTGGTAACTGAGCCTGCAAAACTATCAAACTTCTGCAGGATTGCTGGTGTGACGGTTTGACTACCAGATACGGTTTGAGGCACATCAATTAAAAGGATGCTATGACATGCTATGACCAAATAAGTAGCCCCCTGGGCTCCATATATGGTTCATGAATGTTGATGATATATGTTCTGTCTATACTATGGATCCAAGTCTTTCCAAGGAAGAAAACCCCTCCCAGCCATCATAGCCATCATATCCCAGCCATGCTTCGAAAGCGGTCCCCTTGGGACGGTTTGCTCTCCTACCTATGGGGCATAAACATTGGAGGGTAAATGTTGCGTAAATGTGGGGGGTGATGCAATGGATGCAACCAAAAATCAATAGGGATGTGACGGGATGTGTTCCTAACTTCATCACTGATAACTACTTCACCATCATTGGATTGTTTTATAGAATAAACTGCAGATAATTAATTACCATGGTTTTTACCATGGTTTTTACCATGGTTTTTACCATGGTTTTTACCACACTAAATATCGCACTTTGTGAATCTTGGACATCTAGAAACTTCATCCAATGGGAATCAGCAAACCAGCCTGACCATGAGGTGTCATGTAAGATTGTAAGTTTCAAAAATGTGTTGCAATTGTCTCAAATCAAAAAGCAATTTACTGGGCAGTCCAAAAATATCAATAAAACATATCCCACTCAAACATGTTTTGGTTCTATTGACTGGTCATTTACGTTCACACGATGATGTTTTTTCTTGTGTTTAAGCACATGACAGCCATACTATAGCCATATTCATATCATAGCCAGACGGGCAGTACTTCAACACACCCACGGAACATGTTCGATTTAAGGTCGACGGTTTACCAAAACTGCTCTAATTTTTCATCATTATCCAGGAATTATCCATCATGATCCATCATTTGTGCTTCAATATTTACTCAATGGCCATTTCAGGAACCTAAATTGGAGGTATCTACCATATATAAAGCCTATTTTTCAGGGGATATACCCCCAATTCATATGGCCTCAATGTTTACCATGGTCCATCATGGCCCATAGTTTTCTGATCATTTTCCCATGTTTTCCATCGCCGTGATCTCTGATGTACTTCGGCGGCAGGTCGGGAGGAAGATCTCAGGAAGCTGATCAAGGCACGCTGAACGTTAAATGTGACCATGGGATGGTGATATCCCATGATTTTTCAGAGAAAGTCACAAAGAAAATATATGGGGATATATTATATATAATTACGCATAATCATAAGGTTTGGGGAAAACGGGACATATTAAATAATAATATATATATATATATGTATTTATATATATATGCATAATTATATGTACAATGACCGATGATCAATGTTTCTTTTTGTTTTTTTAACCATGAAAAATCATGCTTAAATCAATAGACTTCCCCTTACACCCATCCAATGATATAGCCAAAGAAATATATGTGCCATTGGATAGTCAAATTAATCCATGATAAGGATTCCCAATAGGGGATGGATGACCATAAAGCATATAAAACCATCTTTTGACCCCTAGCACGTATGGGGATATAGTAGGGACATAGTACGAATCACACACATACAAATATATATATATACACACTGTATATATATTAATCAATATGAGTTAACCATATTTAACTGGCGAAAGTTTGGATTTTAGAACAGAGTTGCTCCATATAGGTAAATGGTAGCCTCAAGGGCAGGTCGGGCAATGGTAGCCTCTCACTTCGACATAACCAGAGTTAGCCAGTTTCACCTCCCGAACTTATTTGGGGTGTTGCGAGCAACCCTGTAGATTTTTTTCTAGCACAATTGGATCATTATAATCACAGTAACATGTCAGGCATATGATCATAGATAATTAAATTGCACATACACACACACACATATATATATATATGCATAACGGTAACCAGCAACACAATCATGCTGTTTCAATTTAATGGTTACGTAAGATTGGATGATGTAAAGGTACTAGTACAATTCGTTCATGACACCATATAATAGTGGATCATGTTTGTTTGATAGAAAGGTGTGATAAAATGTTGCAGGATGGTTTCAGAGATGGTTTGTAATTCCTAGGTGGTTGCATGGATCATACAAGATGATAAGATGATATTGCATGATGTGCAGTAAGATAGCTTATTTAGTTGAATTACTCTATATAGATTATATCAATTTACCCTCTGGTTATTTAACATAGCCATGGTATAGATGGCCCATTTATAGATGGATTTACCTATTAATAGCATGGTGATTTTCCATGGCTATGTTAGTCATAACCAGATGGTAAATCGTATACCCTCCAATAAACTGACGCGTAGCTGTGAGAAATGGCCAAGCAAAATAGATGATGTGCCGCCCATTTAAAAAAATGGTGATTTTCCACGTTTGTGTCAATTTACTAGAGGGTATTCCTGGTTGATAAGATTGGATACCCTAAACCCTAAACTAAGATAGATGTGGAACCCTCATTGGTTTCCCTATGAAAATCATCTACCATTTGGTCGCCTTTCTACGGTTACCTTGCCCTGGGCGGACAAACTTGGCAACTTCGACGTGCAGGAGGTGGAAGATGCTGTGAGCCCGCGTCAGACGTCGCCCGGCAGGGAACATGATTCGAAAGATTTGGAAACAGATATAAATTTGGGGATATGGTTATATCATGGTTATATCATGGTTGTATCATGGTTATATCATCGTGATATCATGGTTATATATCCTCATGTTTCAACATCAAAATACCGCAACACGATATTCCTTAAATCGGCGGCAAAGTTAGTGTGGTGCAGAACTCGTCGTCATGATGGCCCTCGGGGTCACATGTTCCTCCAAAGGTCATGGAGGTCATGGAAACTCAGTAGATTTCTTGAGGAATTTACCCTCTGGTAAACATACAAAAAGCTATTGAAAATGGCCCATTTATAGATGGATTTATCTATTAATAGCATGGTGATTTTCCATGGCTATGTTAGTCATAACCAGATGGTAAAGCTTTTGATCCCTATAGTGTTGATTGGTAATGTGTTTCATCCAAAGTTACTATGTTTTTTGTTAGTTAGGTTGACCCCATTTTCGTGGGTAAAACAGATGCATTTCCGTCCCATTTGCAGCTTGAGCCACTGCGCAGTTCTTTCCATCGCCCAGGCTTCGTACTGCCCGACGTCCAGAAAGGCCTAGAAGGTGGAACTTTCTTTTGTTGTGGCCTGAGCTATGTCGATTTATACCTGGTTGCTGGTTTGGAACATGTTTTATTTTTCCATTCAGTTGGGAATGTCATCATCCCAACTGACAAACTCATATTTTTCAGATGGGTAGGTCAACCACCAACCAGATACTGTGTGTTTTCGAATTCAAAAAGGTGGAACAAGGGCCGCTAGGGATCTGATTGTTCGGTTTCACCGTGAGAAAAATCGGCGCATTTCGGCGGCGATTCAGACAGAGGCTGGTTTCCCCATGGTGAAACGATACAAAATTTGGCAAAAGTGCGAGAACAAACTGGGAAAGTGGATGGTACCTTCTGGTAATTTAACATAGCTATTGAAAATGACCATTTTTTGTGGATTCACCCGTTAAAAATGGTAATTGTCCATAGTTATGTTAAATTACCAGAGGGTATCTTGAGAACTTCTTATTTCAAAAGCCAATCATGAAAATTGAAATTGGTTTTCCATGGTTTTCCGAGATATACCAGAACAGAAACATAAAATTCCAACTTAAACTTACCCTCTTGTAAACTAACATAGCTTGAGAAAATCACAATGTTTAATGGGTCAATCAACTATAATCTGATTGGTCGTTTGGAACATGAATTTATTGTTCCATATGGGAATGTCATAATCCCAACTGACGAACTCCATCATTTTTCAGAGGGGTAGGTCAACCACCAACCAATCCAACCAGTAATCATTATTTCAATCACTATAAAATCAATATCATAACTCATCTATAAATATCATAACTAATAATCACATATCATTGATACCCTCTGGTAAACCATATTTTCAATAGCAGCCCCTTTTTCTGCCGCTGACAGGTCCGTTTCAGATGGTCTTAAAGAGACCAAAAAGGCACCGGCTGTTGGGCCTTGCGGATGTGGCCGCTTAGGGTAACATGGCAGGAATCGGGTGATGTCTATTGATATGTGTGGAAAACATTATTTGATAGATGTTAAAAAAATCTGTTTGGATATTCAATCTATTATCTATAAATATCTATGATCTATAAGTATCTATAATATATGATGTTTATCATTATGTTCGGATATAACTATCTATATATATAATCGTGGCGGAAGTTTACTATAGGTTTACTCTTTTTGAAACTTCCGCCACCGCCTTGTGCGGTACTACTGGTATTATATATGTATAAATATCTACGAATGAGAATGTTCCCCTAGTGATTGTTCTTGTCAAGGCTGCGGCATGGGTTTTTTTGGGGGAATTCTCTGCCAGGTTTGATTCCCAGAAACCTGGGAGACGAATCTGAATACTGGGATATTTCATGGGAAAATGGAATATCATGGAATATTATAATGGGATTATATGGGATAATATGGGATATACTCGGATAATTACTGGGATGATATGGGATAATGATGGAGAATGACTGGTTTTTAAATGTGTTTTGTTATACAAATGTCTGAGCCGTTCTGAACTCGTTTTCACCCCCAAAGAAAACCCATCGAACGCTGCGAATTTCGGTGCCCTTCGCCGGAGACAGCGAGGCGCCAAAAGAGCTCCGCACGATGGCAGTGGAACCTGAGCGGAAGGAGAAGCGAAGGAAGGTGCCGCGGAAGGAGGTCGTTGGCGATCTGGGGAAGTCGTGGGGATTTTCGGGACATCATGGAGAATTCAATGGCAGATGTAATGGAATCATATGGGAATCATATGGGAATCATATGGGAAAATGGGATATAATGGGAATTACCAAACTGAAATGGACAATGTTGGCTCCATGAAATAGTTGGAGCCTGAAAATAGACAAGTGTTAGTCGAAACTCATCTTCCAAGCCACTGTTTAGCAGGGTCTATGGTAATTTGAGGGAGGGCATTGCTATTTTGTGGAAGATGCGAACTGTTTTTTTTGTTAAAATATATGATGCTATATTATTTTTGGTACCCAAATAAGTAAAAGCATCAGTATATGTTGGGAAAAATGCTATCATTCCTTTGTTTATTTGGGATACTCCCTTCCGCCTCATATGAAACCTTCGTCCAATCACGGTGGATTCGGTGGATGAAATACCGATGCCATGGGGATAGGAAAATAGCCATGTCTTGTTTGGAGATCAGCTTACTATTGCTAGGAAAAAACGATCAAAAACGCCGTATGTCTTGTTTGGAGATGGGGATACCGAGATAGCAATAGGCTTTCTTTGGAGATGGCTGTGACAGGTTTTTTCCCCTGACATCTGAGGCACCACTGGCGATAGAACTCACCGGCAATGTGAGAATGTAGCCAATGTAGCCCACAGAAATTCGCATTCTAAGCACCAACATTTTTTTTGTGTAGCCCAGTGGAAAATCCATGGTAGTCCAGCGGTCCTCTAGCACGGAATCCACTTGAGATTTGGGATTCCAGTCGGGTCGTGTTTTTGCTTCCTATGAAGAACTAAGTATACTCAACTATATAGTAATAGATGTAATAGTACGATGTAATAGTACAGTATAGTCTGTTGTGATACTCAACTCTAGTCCATCTATTTGTTTACTCAACTTGTTTTTATTACTGGTCCAGGTCCATAGTATTTACTTAAGTTCTTATCCAGTAATTTTGGACCAAGAAATGGAGCCCCTGGATCTGCGATTTCCAGGTGCGCGATGCCGATGATGCTGCCGCGAGCCGATCACCAGTCGAGAGCGCAAAACACCCCCCGATGCGCCCGGTCAACGTTGGCGTGGGCAGATGGGAGTTGACCCAGGGGCACAGGGGCACTGTGGAAACGTATCCACCTCCAATCTGGCTTAATCTGGATGAGTTGTGGTGGAAATTCCACTTGTTTATTCCACCATAGTTTGCATCTAATCTTCCCCTGTTCAAATGGTTGCAACTTTTATATTCATCTTCCCATTCCCCTGTTCTGCAACATCTTCTAATCTTTTTTATTCCACATGTTGCGTTTTTCATCTAATCCTCCCTTTGGATGGTCCCAAACATATGTAAATTACCCACAACCACAACTGGTTTCTGGGGAAGGTTTTTTTGGGGGGATGGGAGTACTGGCATATACTGGCATTATGGGAAATGGTAATGGCGATTACTCATCGTAAAAAGGGATGTATATAGCCATAGGATCCATGGTGCTGCCATATATGGTAACATTTACCATCAATATACCCCAAATGTTAGCATATATATATATACCATACATGGATCCTATGGGATATAATATATTATATATGGGATAATGAAGACTGACAAAGATTTGAGCAATTATTTGGAATTTGAGTTGCAAGATGAATTATATATAGAAATGTCTAACTTATTTGTCGTAAATTGCCCCGTTGGGTTCACACAAACGGTGGATAAAATGGTGGATTTTGGCCAACAGTTTTCGGGTGAGAACCAGCTGAAAATGGAAGCTTTCCAGAAAATATGGAAGCGCAAAGTATGGAAACTCATGGTCTCCGGAAACAACTCACATTTCTGGTGGGTTTTCCATAGCTGTGATATTTTTTCCCGGGAATGTGAAAAAGTAGAACCAATAAAATTAGACACAGACCCGGTGGTTCGCCCACCAACGAATTGTTTAACAAACTCAAACAAAAGAGATGAACAATTGTTGACGATGTTGAGCATAGCATTGCGGCTTCCAAGAGAACTGTACCGCTATTAGGGTTCATTTGGGGTCTACATCAAGTATAAAGTGTCCACAGCCATGAAACAAATATCCATACTGCAAGTAGGGCTTCATTTAGGGTTTACATAAGAGATATAACATCTCCCACCCCGATGGAACAATAATTAAACCATACCGCAATTACGGTTTCATTTGAGCTTTACATAAGATTTAAACAAATCCCACCCCCATGGAACAATTCACCATACCGCATTCATCGTCATCGTAAGCGTCATCATCATCATCATCATCATCATCATCAAAACCATTTCCAGTTCCAGGCAAACCATAGGGTCTTGCCTTAAACACACCCTAAATATGTTTCAAGTAGAATGGGAATCTAGATATTCAACCACTAGACATTGAAAAGGTAGAACCAATATTTAGGGAATGTTTAAGTAATCTAATATTAAACACGTCCTAAATGGTCCCGGTAGACAAATTGCAATTCTTTGAGGAACAAATCTGTTTCAGGTCCCATATTTTACCAGCCTTTCTTCTGCTTGTGTTAGCCATTTGTTCCTTTGATGGCTGCCGGAAAAAGAAAACAGCTGGAGGTTACTGCATCGTCTCAAATCAAAAAAACTGCCTTAAACTGCTGGGTGGTTTCAAGTCTTGTTTGTGTCTCACCCTACCTGACTCTCCCAACTCAATAAAACATATTTTCTGGAGTGTTGAACGCACCAGCAGAAAACAAACATCTTTACCAGCCAAGTGAACCCGCACAATATGGGTGAGTTGAAATAGACACTAGGGGTTTTGGATGGTATTCACAAGTTTTAGTTGTGATATGACATGATATGACTATAGGATGCTATAGGTAATTTTAGGGTACTACCATGTACTACCCAAAGACTTGACTTGTTGCAAACTCATCATCGGCTGGAATGACGCACCTCCCCCAAGAACTTGGTTCGAGTTGGAACGGAATGGCAAGGATTCTACTCTCCAGCAGGCTGTCAGTTCTACAACCATTGGGCTTGACCCTGAACATCAGTTATTTGGACTCCAGTTCTATTCATTTGCATATAAGGAAAACATAGGGAAACCTAAATAGAGAATTGTTGTTTTCTAGGTCGTTATATAGATCACGTTTGTTGCATAATTGTTATTTTATGCGTGTCAAGTTGTCTATATATATAGTCAAAAACAAAAACAGGTTCATTACTCATACAGTATACATAGTGTATTTCATAGTGTATTTCATAGTGTATTTCATAGTGTATTTCATAGTGTATTTCATAGTGTATTTCATAGTGTATTTAGTGTATTTCATGGGTATACAGGTATACATAGTGTATTTACATGTTGGAGTAAAAGAAAAACTATAGTCCCAAGCCAATTTATTTCTACATAGTGTGCTTCAAACTCTATGCGGTCGTTGCGCACCCCAAGTTTCCCAAGGCCTCCCAAAGCCCGTTTGGTGAAGGTTCATAAGGCCGGAAGTCGATGCTGGGGTGGACCCAGAAATCCTAAGTGGGAAATAACAGTATGTCAGTATAGTAATGTATAATAATATCATAATATAATTAAGCCTGAATAAGCATGAATATGCCAAGTATATATGGAAATGGAATATCCTAATTTCTATGTGGGTTAATGTGTGGGGTATATATGTCCTGTTGTTTTCTTCATGTCTACCTGCAAAAAAAAAACATAATTTCGAAGTGTCGTGGTTGAATGGTGAAAAGCATTTCAAACCGTCGCTTTTGGATGGGTATTAAAATGATATAGATCATTTCAGACCACCAACAAGATAACACACACACATATGTATATATGCGTATACTTGTTATTCTTATGTATATCTATATAATATCTATCTATATATTCTGCGTCGTTTCGCAAAGGTCTATACTCTTGATTACCCTCTGCATGGTGAACGAACTGTTTTGCCATGGAAAATCACCATATATATCCATATATATGATAGTTAAATTAACTATCAATGGGCCATGGCTTCCATAGTCATGGGCAACAGGTGGCGCCGTCGCAGGAACCCGTGGTGGACAGAGGCGGCTGAATGGCAATGCGGCTGGGTTTGACAGTCCCCAGCATTAAATATATAGGATTCAGCATATCGATTCACTAGGATTACCAACACGTTATATGTTTATGAAATGGGATTATAATGGTATGGTGAATATATATATATATATATTCAACTAGGATTATATAACCAACAAAAATGGGATTTAATTTTGAATATATCATAGTGGAATATGTTTCATCAACTTTAAAATGATGTGCCAGGGTGTGCCTGAAAATGGTGTTTGTTTATCCCCTTAAATGGCTAAAAATTACGAGGGAAAATGATGATTCACCAGTGGAAATTCGAGTGCCTTATGTTCATACAAACATGATATATGTATATATACATACTTCATAAATCCTAGCCAATCTGCTTAAATATAAACCAACATCAAGTTCTATGTTTATGAAATGTTTATGATTTCTATGGGTCACTATCTTGCAGTTCATTTGTTTCTTCATGCGGAAATCGCAAGTGGAAAAAGAATGTGAAGACTCTGAAGACCCATCGGATTGTGGGGCGCACATGACCAATTCCAGGAATCCAAAATCGCTTCCCTTGAGTGATGCTTTGAAATTAAAAGCAAGATATGGATATTATAACATGAGATTTATGACATTTATGAAATTTGCATACTGCATACTATGCATACTCCATAAATCTTGCAGTGGGTGTTGGTCAGTTCTGAAGTGCATTGACGTTGTGTGATGTTGCCATCATGAACTGTCTATGGCCTTTTGACCAGCATGTCAGCTACAACACATTGAATCCCTTCGCAACAGAGATGAACAGATGCATTCTGTGGTTTAGCACAAAAAACTGGTATATAACTCTGAAAATGTGTAACGGGTATCCACGAAAAAAGGGTGGCAAATCGGGAAATTGATCTTATTATTTGTGTGTGTCTCAAAATGTGAGGATTCTGTCGTTACCAATTCGACAAAAGCATTTGGGGTGTCGGGTGTCTCTGAAAAATGTTGGGGAACCATCTGTCCTGTTTCCACAAGCCAGTGGGCACCGTGGGTGGCTTGGCTATGCTTGGCTGCCATTTTCCACCAGGCAAAGTCCCTGCACTGTCACCTGGAGACTTTGACTACGAGCGTTGCTGGCATGGTTTCTTCCATGGCATGGTCAATGGTGGACCCATGATGGACCCAAGTTTGGGTAATGTTCAGACTCTGGTGGTGTAGAACCAGTCAAAATGGGGCTGTTCATCAACAAAAATGGTCATAGATTGACCGACCAAAATGGGCAATGTCAGCCCTGGATGAACAATCCCTTGAACATGGGCGACTACCTCCAAATAGTGATAAGTAAACAGCGCCCAAGGTTCTGACTCCAGAGTTGACATTATGGCTTAAAGTTGATGACCCCCAGTTTGGGTGTTTCTTGGTCAGTCAACTGGTCAAGAGGTCGTTACCCTCAGGTATGTAACATTATGTATTTACAGGGATCCCTAGGGTCAACGAACAGTTCGATGTGGAAAAAGCATGAAAAGGCACAATGTTCAGGTCATTTTTTCCTAGATAAACCATGAGTTTTCCACATCCATGTTAGTTTACCTAGGGTAAATGGTATCTATTCTGGTGACGAGGGTCATCATGGTATGGATTTGATCCAAACTCGGCGATCCTCAAATGACCTTGACCGTGCAGTCATGGCCAGAAGTTTCATATGGGTCGACCTCTTAGTAAGTTTTTCAATGGAAAATCTATGAAATCCAGAAATCCACCAAGGTCACCCATAGAAACCCAGAAAGAAATCCAGAAATCCATAGAAATCCCAGGTTTTCAGGTGGTTTTCCCGTAAAAACCGCAGGTTTTCCGTGCCGTTTTTTTTTTCATCTGCCTTTTTCGGTGCCGTGTTTTTTTCGTGTCGTCGTCGTGACAGGATGCCCGAGGAGATTAAGGAGGGTGAAGCCCCGTGTCGCCGACTTTTTTGCAACAAACATACCCTCTGGTAATTTAACGTAGCTATTGAAAATGGTCATTAATAGTGGATTTTCCATGATTTTCCCATTAAAAATGGTGATTTTCCCATTAAAAATGTGGATTTTCCCCATATTAAATGGATATTACCCTCGGGTAATTTAACAGTTTGCGAACTGGAAAGATCCACTATTTTTAATGGGAAAACTCACTATTTCAATGGCCATTTTCAATAGCTATGTAACAAATTACCAGAGGGTACTCTCTGCAGTGATGATCATTTATTATAGTTATAACTGGTAAAAAAAACTGGGATTATACATTCTATAAATGGGGTTTTGTTAGTAGTTATGACTGGTAAATGGCCAGAACTGTGGTAACGTTCAAATAGCTATGGAAGCCATGACCCATAGAAATAGATGATAAAAACATATAAAAACATCAAGATTTATCTAACAATGGTGATTTTCCATAGTTATGTAAACGTTTACTGGAGGGTATGCTACAGATGTTTAGCAGAGTTCACCATTGTTGTTGTCAAATGTTGTTGATGGTCAAACCTTAGAATTTGTTTTTTTGTTCTTGGTTGAATTCAATTGGTTGTTGGCTACACATATAAATCCCGTTTTTGCTGCTGTAGTCCGATTTTCAATTCATTGCTGGTTAAACTTCACGTTTGATGGTTGATATAAATTACCAGTTTGGGCTGCATAAGTCTAATTTGTTGGTTGCATCACCATCCATTTATGGTGTGTTAAATCATATTATAAATATATGTTATAAATCAGCTAGTTCAGTTAAATCAGTTGTACATCCTTAAAACAGATAAATCTCTTCAAGAATTGTCTGGTTGGTGGTTTGGAAGCCGTGAAGGCCCAATTCCCCTACCAGTCCGGTACGGCCGTGCTGGCAGAGCGAGGGTCGGTGTGTCCTTTCACCCCATTTGGTTTTGCCATGGCTGTTGATTTTCCTCTTCCTTTTGCAGATTGCGCTGCTGGAACTAGGATGACCCTGGTTGCTAAGCTTCAAGTCTGGGATGTGGAACATGACGCCCATCGTATGGTCTCACTTCATGAAGGTACCCCTTTTGTGTTGACTGGATTACTGGATGGTGATGGTGATTCATACACGTTGGTCAATGCCGAGTTTCGCAAGCAATTTCCTGTCCCGTGGATGGTGATTGACGAGGCCTCTCAGGTGTTCCGACATGACAGGCCATCATGGCATGCTTTGCATCAGGTCGTGGAGTTGTGCTCTGGCTTTGGTGGGATGAATCAAGGAATGGCAGCCCTTGGTTTTAGACCCCTTGTAGCTGTTGATGCAAATGACCGTTTCATGAAACTGTATGGGGAGCAATGTGATGCTGTTCCGTTGGTTGGGGATGTGACACACCTCTCTACTTTGAAGAGGTTGTGGCCAGTTGCCAAAGGCGCTGCTACGTTGGTAGCAGGATTTGCTTGCCAACCGTTTTCAGTTCTGGGTGACAGAAGAGGGGGTTGTGACCCCAGATCAACATGTCTGACGGGCATTCTTGCCATTGCCCATTTTCTCCAGGTTCATGCCATCATTTTAGAATGCGTCCAACCTGCTGCTGGGAATGATTTTGTGTTGGGTCAGATTCAACGATTTGTGGATATCTCTGGTTTCCATGTCTCACAATGTGACCTTCGTTTGGATGATGTGTGGCCAGCCCGACGAAATCGTGCATGGTGGTTGATTACATCCCCCCTTATTGGGAAAGTCCAGTTGGTACCATGGCCAAAGGGTTCCACTGTCACGAAGGTTCGACATCTTTTCCCAACACTGCAGCCATGGGATGTCAGGGATGAAGAAGATTTGGCTCTCAATGCAGTTGAGCGTAGTGCTTTTGGTGTTGAAAATGACTCTTTCCACCGATACCTGCTGAACTTTGAAGCTTGTGCGCCTTGTGCTTTACATTCCTGGGGCTCCCAGGTAGTTGGTTGTAGGTGTGGATGTCGTAATTGTGGCCTCTCTGAACAGCGCCTCAAGGAACGTGGTCTCTTTGGATGCCTTGTCCATTCCTGCCCCACTGAGTTTAAGGAAAGTCTTCTACGACATGCTCACCCGAATGAAGTCATGATGATGTGTGGATTTGATCCCATTATTGATTTTGGCACTGATACACGCCTCACCTTGGCTGCTGCAGGACAGATGGCTTCACCATTGCAAGCTGCTTGGGTCTTCTCTGCGCTTGAGGAACGTTTGGTTTCACTGAGGGGCATTTCGTTTTCCTTTTCGGCAGATGCTCAGATCCAAGCTTTCATGACATGGTTGCTTATGAGGGGTCGACAGGTATGGCCTGCACTGGTTGAACCAATTGAGGATTCCAACACGATGGCTCTGACTCGTTTTTGGTCAGTAGTTTCACAGCTGTCCATGCCTGAGCTTGTACAGCCGCTTCGATGGCCTGAGCTTTCCCAAGGAACCATTTCCGTTGCATCCGTTTTGGACCTGTTGATTAGAAAATCACAAGCCATTCAAGATGTACCCAGGCCGGTTTTTGAGGCCCCAGAAGATGTGCCCATGACTGCCATTGATGATGAGGGACAGGAATGTGACAGCACTCCTTGGTATGATCCTCCAATACTCCCGCTGGTGCCTACTTTGAATTCCCAAGATGGTTGTTTGGTTGTTTTTCTTCATGAATGCGCCGACCCCATTGAATTGAAGGTTTCGCACGGTGAGACTGTCCAACAACTCCTTCATGCTCACACTCAGTTGGTTGGGAATTTTGGGGTTACTAAGGTTTGTGATCATGTGGGCAATGAGCTTCCTTTTACCCATGAACTCCAGGTAGGTCAGGTGGTTTACATTGCCTGCATTGAGGGACCTCCTGCACAATGTGGTGTTGAGTCCAAAGACGGCCTGCCACCTGGCCCATCTGATGTGTCAGTGTCCAGGGTTGATGTAGCATCCGATGTACAGAAAGCATCCGTTGCAGTGCATCCGGCATCCGTCCCTCATGTCGTGCTCAGTTCTGACCAGGGAACTGAAGTCTGTCGGTCTGTCCATTGTCTGTCTCAGGTTCCTGATGGTGATCATGCTGTCCCGTCTGTCTGTTCCGCTTCAGGTGGTAAGCAAGATCAGGTTGTTAGCCCCACTGCTCCATGGACTTTTCCGCCTCGTGAGATTGCTCAGACTCCTTCATCCAAGTTTGGTCCTTTTGATGCTGGTCAATGCGATGTGCCTGACGGATTACTCCCAGATTGTGAATCGTGGATCTCTGCTGCACCGTTGCTTGGTCTTTCTGGTCCTCAGTTTCTTAAGCTGCATGTCCCGATGGTTCAGAGTACCAAACACCTCTGGTCTCTCCGACATCAGTTCCTCAAGTCTGCTGACAGATCTGCTATTCTTGATGCTCAGGGTGAAGTTTGGTCAGATGATGAATTCCGACATCACATTGGCCTTTTGCTTGCCTTACGAACTGCCAAGCGATTTGAAGGGGTCAATGGACAAGATCGAAATTGTGTGATGTTGGATCCGCTGCTCCTCACTGGTTGGGTTCACCATGGGACTGTTTTGTGCCGTGATTGGGCTCTGTCGCACCCTGAGATTCTTGCCGAAGGAACCATTCTGTTGTCAGCTTGTGTTCTTGATGGTCATTGGATTCCTGTGGTCCTCACCCCGAATGGTATGTGTTTGAACTTCTCTACTTGGGATTCTCCTGGAAATGCTCATGACAAGTTGAATGAAGTGGTTGAATGTTTGGGTAAGCTCTTGGGCTTTTCGCAAGTCAATGTCTTGCGCCATCAGAGAATGTTTTTCACTTCTACTCGATGTGGAGCATTGGCGATGTCTTTCCTTCATCATGAGGTTTTCAACTCCATGTTGCCTACAACCAATGAGGAAGCTGAGATGGTTCACACAAGATTAAGAGCTGTCTACAAACAAGAGGTTGACAGATGTCAGATTGCACGCCGCCCTTGGATTTGGGGTACTGGCGATGAGCCTGAGACCTTTGCAAATGAGCCTGGACGATCGTCTTCGGATGTTCCGAATGCCCCTGTCCCTAGCACGAGTTTTTCACATCAGCGCATGGACAAAGAGGCTCGCCTTGAGCTCCTGAGACAGAAAGGGAAAATGTGGGGCGATGATGAAATTCGGTACCATCTTCAGCACATGATCAATCACCCCCGAAATGTCTCCAAAACGCAATTTGCTGCCATCCCTGGGTTTGTGATGCTTGATCCTCTTTTGCTCACTGCTTGGGATTCTATTGGTGAACTGATGTGTGCAGCTTGGTGTCGTCGCAACACATGCGTAAGTGAACTTGGATTTCATGTGGTCACGGTTTTCTTGCACAATGAACATTGGTTTCCTGTTTGGATTGTTCCTCATGGGTGTACCATAGTTGCACATGTGGTCAAGGATGATGTCGTTGACCATGCCATTGTGATGCCTGTCCTTGAAGTGTTGCGTCAGCAGTTTGGATTTTGTGAAAAGGTCCTGAACTCGCACCCCAGTCGCCTGCCTCCGCACTCCCTGTGTGGGGCCGCTGCAATTGCCTTTTTGGGTCATATCATGGTATCAGCTGACTTGCCCGATGATCTTGCTACGTTGGGAGATTGTCATTCCAACATGAAAGCGGCTTTTGTCCATGCTTTGTTTGAGTCCAAGTGTTGCATTTGTCCTGCTGCATGGGGCTCTGGTTTCCAATCAGGGTTAGTCAAACAGCTTGCAGAGGAGCTTGTGAAACATGGTGTGCCTGATGAGCTGACTGAACAGCGTGCGCAACAGGCTTTGAAAGCGATCGGATCCGATCAAATTCACCAGGCATTGCAGTCCAAAAATGTGTGGCGTTCTCTCAAGGCTTTGGGGAACAATGTGAAATTTCAATTCTTGCTGCCTCCTGAATTGGCCGCTGTTGTTGCTGCCAACAAGGGCGCCCAGGTTGGAAAGAAGCACAAGATTTCTGCTCCGGTCAGTCGTCCACATGTTCCGGACAGGGTTGATCCGTCACGTTTGTCTCTGCCT